TTACTAGTTGATTGGCAAGAGAAAATTACCCGTTGTAGCAACACTCTAGCAGCCATGGTCCGCTCAATTGGTCGATTGAGGGAATTGGGTCTTGGTCTCGCGAGAATTATTTGGATGTCACGGAATGATGCTTGTGCTTGCAAGCACCTAACACCAGGCCCACTGGACGCTGGTGCGGCTATTTCCGGAGCTCGGGAATTCGATTATGCACTGGCCTGAGATGACTGGCAGCACTGCACACCCTTGCACAAAAAATTACTCCCGCCGTCAGTCCGGATACCATCCCGGCTACGGCCTATCGATTGGTTTATCTCATTCCCATTAATTCTCCCTATCCAGAAGCATTCCCATGGTCACGGCCCTTGGTCGCATTTACAACCGCCCTCCTTTTTTCTTGCTACATGTTTTACTAGAACTTTCGTCTCGACTCGTAGTTATGGTCGCGCCATCGACGGATTCTTCATAATGATCAAATCTTCAACCCGCGGCCTCTGGGTCTGCACCCAATGCGTTCGGCAAGCTTCCCGAGGCCAACAGCGCCGGTGGATAGCCGCAGTGTCCGGCGCCGCTCACTCGAGCATCACGGCCGACCACTCACTTCCGGGAAGGATTACCGACGATGCGATCCTGCGCGAACTCTTCGACTCCCCCGACCGAGTGTCCAAGGCCTTCAAGGCGGCCGGCCCCAGTGTTGGCCTCTTCAAGAATCGATATCTCACTAGCCCGAATGGCTTCTACGTATTTGCCCGCAAGAGCTTGGACAAGGCGCAGAAGATTGTCCACCGAGTCCTCCATGCGTCGAGTGTGTCCGAATACCAGGCCGTCGTCAAGGACCTTGACCGTCTTAGCGACCTTCTCTGCCGAGTACTCGATCTATCCGACTTTGTCAGAATGACACACCCAGACCCCAGATTCCAGCAAGCAGCAGCCGGAGCCTGGTCGCTGGTCTATCAGTATATGAACCAGCTGAACACCATGACCGGACTGAGTGACCAATTGGTCAAGGCTATGGAGCAGCCCGAAGTGGTCGCGGCATGGTCAGAGGAGGAGAGGACGGTCGCAGAGATTCTCAAGCTGGATTTCACCAAGTCGGCTGTCGACTTGCCACAGCAGGAGCGGGACCGCTTCGTGGACCTCTCGCAGCAGATAAGTGAGGTTGGATCCATGTTCGTCTCAGACATGCAGCCTGCGAAGCGGGAAGTTGTGCTTCCCTCATCGAGCTTCTACGGCTTATACCCCGGGATCGCTCGAGCGCTCACAATGAGGGGCAAGTTGCGCCTCCCCACCACCGGCCCTGAAGCTCAGGCCGCGCTCCGGAGCGTCAAGGACGAGGGGACGCGGAAGGAGGTGTACACCGCCATGCGTACCGCTTCGAAGCAGACAGTCGGTCTGCTCGAGACGATGCTCAAGCTTCGTTCTGAGCTGGCGGACCTGGCGGGGTTCTCGAGCTACGCCCACCTTTCCCTGAAAGACAGAATGATGGCAAAGTCTCCCGGCGCTGTGATGCAGTTTCTTCACGCGCTGCAAAAGTACAATACCCCTATTGTTCGCGAGGAAATGTCGGACCTCCTGAAGTTGAAGCAGAACCGACTAGACAGCACTGCTACTCAAGTCCATCCGTGGGACAAGGATTTCCTAATGGACGGCGTGCGGTCCGAGATGAGTCTGCCAGTCCGTCATCCCGATCACCTCCCGTCCTTTTTCTCCATCGGCACCGTCATGCAGGGCATGTCGAGACTGTTCACTCGTCTCTACGGTATTCAGTTCAGACCAAAGGAGTCGCAGCCCGGCGAGACTTGGCACGAGGATGTGCGACGCCTGGATGTTGTGACGGATACGGGCGATCTCATTGCCGTCCTGTACTGCGACCTGTTCTACAGAGAGGACAAGTCGCCCAACCCTGCTCATTTCACAGTGCGCTGTTCCCGAGCCATCGCCCCGTACGAAGTTGAAGAGGCTGCGGAAGACATCCATAACGCCACCTCCGATATGCCCAAGTTTGAGAGACCTGAGCAAGCCGCAAACGACGGCATGGAGAGCTTGCAGCAGGATGGCGTCCTGATGCAGCTGCCCACCATTGCCTTGGTCTGCGATTTCCCCAAGCACGATGCGAAGAGCTCCGCCCCGGCGCTCCTGTCGTACTACCAGGTCGAGACCTTGTTCCACGAAATGGGCCACGCCATCCACTCCATCCTCGCTCGCACCAAGCTTCAGAACGTGTCCGGCACGAGATGTGCCACCGACTTTGCCGAGCTCCCATCCACGCTGATGGAGCACTTCGCCGCAGACCCATCCGTGCTAGGACTCTTCGCCCGTCACTGGAAGACGGACGAGCCCCTGCCGTACCAGATGGTCGCCGAGCGGATCCGCCTGGCGAAGCGCTTCGAGGGCATCGACACGGAGAATCAGATCCTCCTCTCCCTGCTCGACCAGTCGTACCACAGCCCCGAGGTCGCCGGTCCGTCCTTTAACTCCACGCGCGTCTACCACGGCCTCCAGGAGCAGTTCTCCCAGGGCGGCGCCGACCCCGCCGGCACGTGTTGGCAGGGCTTCTTCGGCCACCTGCACGGGTACGGCAGCACCTACTACAGCTACGTCTTTGACCGCGTCCTCGCCGAGCGGGTCTGGCGCGTCGTCTTCTCCGCCGGCGCCGACGGCAAGGCGCTCAGCCGGGAGAACGGCGAGCGACTCAAGGAGAACCTCTTAAAGTGGGGAGGCAGCCGGGACCCGTGGCAGTGTCTGGCGGATACCTTGCAGGACGACCGTCTTGCCAAGGGCGATGACAAGGCCATGGCTTTGGTGGGTAGCTGGGGCATCAAGGATGACCATGCGTGAGGGACGTATACCAGCCAGTGTATTATATATGTAAGAAGGTCCGCATCGTACGAGACTAGAGTTGTATAAGAGTAGACATGTATCAATGACTAGATCGCACTGATACGCTCATCTTGTATCAACGCCGTGATAACACTCATTCTGTCCCTAGAGGCTCGTACCTGACAGCCAGCTCTGCTTACGTGGAAAGATATAAACAGCGCCGACCGTCCCTGCCTTACCAAGCCTTCATCCGATGAATTTTCCCACCCCCGAATACACAGAGAGTACACACAGGAAGAAGCCTATATACCCCCCCTCAAGTCCATTCTCGCCACCAGCAACAGCAGGCGCCCCTCTAGGTCGGGGGGTCAGGACAAACTGGCTGGGTGGTGGAGTGGTTCAAGCTCAACAATCAAATTACGCCCACAGCCTACTCGACGACAGGCTCACGAGTTCCCGAGTTCGAATCCCAGTATGAGCACCAAGAGATGTAGCCCCCAACTCAGCACCGGGGGAGTGAACTCTTTTTGACTGTCGTTGTATCTAGTAGATATCGGCATGGCTATTCGTCTAATATTCCCATGTCTCTAATACCATTCTCACGACGCCCGCCCCACCCCCCTTCATGAACTCGCATCATGAACAGAACCTATCACAAACACCTCTTCTGGCAAACATCAACAATACAAGCAGAACACTACAACACCCATCGATTAGCGATACATGACTTCCCAGCAAATGAACTAAAACAAAAGTCAATAACCACGAGAGAAACTCACGTATTTATCTCCATTCGCTTCCTTGTACCAGCAATATCCGGACCCCTTCGCTCTGCAGCAGTCGCACTTGACTCTCCTGGGCAGCAAACCACCGCCGACATTGTTAGGCGAGGAGGATTGATCGAGAGAGCGGGCTTCTCGGACTTCTGCGGTGTCTAGGGCTGCCGCGGCGGCGGAGGAGAGGAGGAGGGGGAGGATGGTGAAGACGGAGAATTGCATGGTGGGCGATGTGGTGCCGTCTGGTGAAGTTGTGAGTGAGTCTGCTGTGTGTAGTTACACGGGTAGAGGCAGGGTGAGAGGATTGGGTGATGCTTTGAACGAGTTGGTGTATGGAGCTGGAGTAAAGTAGTTTGATTTGCTGCGATCATGGCCCAATTTATACATGATAACCTCGATTGTTACGTGGTTGGTACAAGTAGGTACGGTAGGTGCGTAAAAAGGAGCAAATTCCCGTAAACGATACTCTAGCCTTTGAGTTGGCTTTTGAGTTGAGACTAGTCATATCATACACCGTAACCTTCTGACTCTACAAATCATTGCAATGTCTACAATCTCATTTCTCTGTGTCCTCGCCAAGAGTTCTGATACTTTATGGTTCTCGTAAAAATCCCCGTACAGCTAAACGGCCAATTGGCCGTGGTGAGAGTTTGGGGCACCAGTCGATCTTTCAAGACTGTGAATCGTCTCGTTATTCTGGGTATTGGGTTATTTCTTTAGTACCCCCAAAAAGTCAAATATAGTTTAGTCAAAGCTAGAGACAACTTTGAGACTCAACCGCCCTACGCCAACAATAGACAGACCCCTTTACCATCATCCTCATTTGATTTTCCCCCTTTCGTACCTTTTCATACGATGATATTGGATCGTTGTAGAGTCTCAAGAGCTCCAGCAGTGGTTTATAAATAGGTCGCACATTTCACTGTGGACGGCGTCACCGAGGGGCTGCTGCTCATCTAACACGGGCCATTGGGCAATCTTCAGAAAAAAGCGTCGAAACCTTCCGGCCCATTTCCCCTGTACATCAGCTGTTCTTTAATGCCAATGTGTACCTCAACGTCCACTCCTGGTTTAGCTTAGTAGTTGGTTCTGCTGAGGGCTACTCATAAACTAGAGCCCATGTATCAGAGTAGAAGTGTTACGTTATATCTACTGGAGAACCAACATACAATCGCATCCTCGCAATTGGCAAGTAAATGATCAACTTCAAAATCTTCATCATCGTTGTATTCAGGGAAATCATCTCTGTGCCCAGGCGTAGCAGAGAAAAAAACGAAGGGCTGACTCTCCCACTGCTCCGCCACTAAACCTCCAGCGAGGCCTGAGAAAGGAATCCTGGATTTTTCCGCAGGCCAATGAGGTGACCTACAAGCTACCCAATACCTCCAAGTCAAAGAGCAGAAGCACATGTTGCGCACCTCACTCAACAAGGTGACGTCGGAAACCCCAAACCCCCGCAGGTCCTTAAACTCCCGAGCCTCCTCCGAAGGCCAAAGGCCAACAGCCCTCCGAAAAGCCGGTCGTGACGAGGGCTCCGGTCATCATCCCACCGGAGCCGACTCGCCGCAGTGGAGTCACCCGGACCACGGACGTCGTCGGCATAGCAAACTTACCCAGCCGGACAGCTGCGCTGACCCCCGTCAGTCCATCCCCAGCATATCACCTCAAAAGTCCTCCACAACAAACGTCTACCTCCACGACCCCGAAGAAACGAAACAAACCAAATAGGGCAAAACCACAAGACACCAACGGAGAACGAGGTCGTACAAGCAGGCATCTAAGCAGCGGGAGAAACCCCAAGCCGATGCCTACCAGCCAGCAGACGACATGCGGAACAAGGTAGGAAGACGTTCATGAAGCGAACTCCCTCTAGCGCACAATATCCAGGTACATTACAGCTTGGGCGTACGGCATGGCGTGGGAGGTCTAGATCCCCATCACATCAGACGATAACCTCACGCCAGCCCTATCGGAATCGAATCATGCTCACGTCCCGGAACTTCGCAGCACCCTCATTGATGACCAACGGCATGCCGCTGGGCGGTGACGGTCCCCATCCCTCCCTAGACCTGTGCCGTACAAGCTACTCACTCCTCCCTTCTAGCGCATGCAGACTCCGAGCAGGGCAGCGGCAGACCGACCGGTTCCTTCGGAGGGAACAAGATCCCGGATGCTTACTGCTTAGGTTTGGGACTTGAAAAGGGACGAGAGAGAGCTGCCAGGGTGGGTACATGGGGAAATAGAAGATGACAGCTCGCATGAACCCTCCCAAACGTGGTGTCATGTTCTCACGATCATTGCCCTAGCTCACAGCATACGTGGGCTCGTGGAGCTTAATTTAACCGGGGGAGTTAACCTAAAGCAGGGGATCTGTAATGAAATATTGCATCTATTGACATGTGTCTGCCTCATGTGGTAAATCTCATCCCTAAAAAGCTCAGCTATGGTGGAAAAAAACAAAATTGAGATCCAAGTACCCCTGCTTTGCAACAGAGCGTACTTAGCGACTATCCCCTTTAGCTCCTGAAAATGCCGTGATAACAACCGTACCGCGCCGCCACACTCCCCAACACCTGCCGGATAAGTTGGAAGAGAGAAAGTGATGATTTCGTGTCTGCGTCTTTCCTTGCATGCCTGGTGTCTCTCAGGCTGTGGATTATGTGTTCGCGTTTGTCGTGTGAAGTGGGATTTGTATGATACAAATATGCCCGAGTAAGAATGTCCCTGAATCGGACTCAAAATTAAGGGAATCTGTCTAAACTGCCATGGGGGTTGCGGTAGGGGTAGGCGATGCGCCGCCAGGCAATTGGAGGAAGCCGCCGTAGTATTCGTCTAGCCAGCGGGCAGCCTCCTCGCCGGCGTCGTCCATGCTGGAATCCCATCGGCCAACGGAACCCACATAGCCGTCAGGTCGTACGTTGACAATGGAAACCTCACCGGGACCGAGGCTACCAAGCCACTTGTTCGTGCAAAGCTGGCCACGCGTGTCCTGTTCTGGAATGTCGTCCAGGTAGAAGGTCCAGCGGCTGTCCTGCAGCAGGGCAGGCAGGTCCGAGATCTCCACATCATCTTTGGGCATTGTAGCTGTGGCTAGTGTTAGTGATTAAACTGAATTTCTGGTGAACAAGACTCACTAATCAAGGCAAATGTGAAGAGATGGCTGACGGCCGTGTATCTCTCGGGCCGGTAGTAGATGTCTTCAGACGATGGCAGTCTGGGCTGCGCAGCGTAAGAAGCACTAGCCGAGGCCGAGAGCTTGCTGATGAAAGAGTTGGCCGAGGCGATGGATTGGCAGAAAGTCTCCAGGAAAGGGCTCGACGCCTGGATATCCCACATCAAAAGGTAAATGCGGAACTGTCCGAGCATCGGGATGTCGAGCTGAATATCCACAGGATTTGAGTCGATGTATCTAGTGACCTTGGCCGGGGGAAGCAAGCAGCCAGGTCTGGCATCTCCCATAATGAGGCCTTGAGAGTCGGGCCTGTTCAGGGGGCTCTCAGAGTACTCAGCGCCGATGCCAGAAATGAAACGGACATTCGTCTTGAAGTTTTCTGACAGTGCTACCGCGTCACCTCCCGCAATCTGATTGGCGTGCTCGTAGTCGAAGTTGACCAGGTCAACAGCGATCTTTCTCCGCTCTTCTTCGTAACTCTCGAGCAGGCATTGCTTCGCGAGTCCTCGAATGCTCAGGTTGAGCTTCCACGCAATGTTCCACGAGTCGTGCATAGAGGTGTTCATGCCCTGAGCAGACTTAGGGGAGTGCGTGTGACTGGCATCACCAGCGAGGAACGCCCTCAGATGGGGGTCGGTGAACCGACTGGCCACTCTCTGACCAATCTGGTAACGTCCGAACCACTCAATATACTTCCAGTCGACCTCGAAAGGCGCCATGATCTTCTTCGCTCGAGCCATGACGAATTCCTGGCCAAGCTCTCGCTTGTCGGCCTTGGGGTTCGCCTTCAGCTCAATGTAGAAACGGGTCATATTCCTCTCTCTCGGGATAATTAGAATAGAGCCGTATTCTTGAGAGTATACTAGCGTCTTGGACCAAATGTCTGGGAAATCGGTGATAAGTTCGCCATCGAGAACACCCCAGATTGCTGGTTGCGAAAGGCCAATAGCCCGTGCATCAGGAATGCTCTTTCGTACTTTGGAGTGGGCACCGTCACCTTTTTCGGGTCAGTATATGTCTTTCCCAGCGCAGCGGTTTTGTAGTAGTTCACTCACATCCAACCAAGTACTGTGTCAGGATTGTCCGCCGGTCTTGGGTTACGTTTGTGCGACAGTTAACCTGTAGGGGCCCCGCCTTGTTTTCCGGAACGCTGTAGGACTCGAATGCGGTATTCCTCCGGACCTCGACCCCGCGCTTCTTCAAGTCATCGATGAAGAGGCCTTCAACCATACCCTGGTGAACGAGCAAAATGTAGGGATCGAGGACGTCGATGACGGGAGGGTAGTGTACCTCGCGGCCCAGTCTGTGCAGCGGCTCGTCGGCAGTGCTTCGCCAGAAGGAAATATCGTAGACACGAACACCGCGGAGGAGCAGAGGGTCGGCGAGGCGCATTTGACGGAAAGTCTCGATCGTCTTGGGCTGCAGTCCGTCTGCTCTATTTCGGGTATTAGCTTACAGAGGCATGGTAGGTATGTGTGTATGGATTGTCTACCTTCCAACAGGCGTCTGGTCAGCTCTGTCGTCAATAAGCTCGACCTTAATTCCAAAGCGCCCGAGATTGGCAGCCAGCATCAAACCAGCGGGGCCAGCACCAACCACGCACACCTGGGCCTCTATAGGAGGCTCAGGCAAGCTGCGCAGGAGGGTGAGTGTGTCTACAGTGGGATCGATAGCATGGAGACGGCCAGCGGCGGTGCCGGCCAGCCCGTTCGTCGGGGCAGTCTGTCCGTTTTGGTCCTCCATTGAGCCGTCCGAGTTAAGTACACCAGGTGCCATAGTCGAGAGGCGTGTTGTGATGTCACAGTCTCACAGGACTACCGAATCGAGGTAATTGGTCGTCGGTATGTGATACTGGGTGGTTTGCAAAGTAAGTGACTAGCTAGCTAGCTATGGCAGAGGACCAATCGCCAACGAGGTCGAACGAAGACTATTGGAGAGGTACGTGTAGGTGTTCAGGCTGGCTTGCCGCGCTCGCACGGCTTGCGGTTGAAGACTTTCGAACGTGGGGTCAAGGATGTAATGCGCGGGCTTGAGATACACCACACTGGCGCTCAAAGGCACAGACTGAAGCAGGCGTGGAGCTCGAAGCGAAGCGATGAGGGAAACGGGATATTTTCGTACGGGCTCCAGCCGTCAAGAGGTTTAGTGTGGTGTCTCTTCGTCCGAGGGGTCTTTGTCTTGTGTGCGACGTAAGGGAAAAGTGTTGGGTCCCAGGAGGTGGTATTCGAGATATAATAATAATATGAGATACGGCAGGGTCGCTGAATATGCAGCCAGACCAGGGCGGATTAGAGACCAAGGACCAGAATAGTGGGTGTGTGGTGAGGTGGGTTTGCAAGTTGCAGCGAACTAGCAGCAAGACCAATGACGGATGCTGCTGGACCAGGGCTGCAGCAGCAGGCGGGACAAGCACACACGGGGAACGGGGTGAGAGAGCGCAGAGAGGGCAGACAAGACGGTGAGAAAATCAGAGAAGGGAAAGAAGGGAAGAGAGGAAAAAACAACCGACGAGTCCCTACAAGACCGAGAGAGTGGGAAGAGAAAAAAAAAAAAAGAGGGGAGGGGCCTGCAGACTGATAGCTGGGTGGTTCGACAGAATTGGAGATTGCTTCGCGGATGCTTCAAACGATTTCAGAAAGTGGCATGATGAGCTTTTGGAGAGCGGCAGGAATCGAGTGAGAATCAGACCACCACGGATTATTTACCCATGCCTGCCATACTTTCAGCCTCTTCCCATTGGCCGACCCCCCTCCGGAAGGGACAGCAGGGTCCAGCTGGTTGGGCGCTAGTCCCGTTTCGGTGTGCTCCAGAACGTGGCAGGTGCGTTCAGTGCTCCTTCCTCTACCTACGAATACCACTACCTAGGCCTGGCGTGCCTGGTTCACACCTTCCAGAATCCACGGGTTGGACCTCTGAAGGCTGACGGATGACTGCGTTCACGCCATGGCGGGGGCAAGCCGCGACCGTTTATGAGGCCACTTTTTGACTTTAGCCTCGTTTCCAGCAACACCTGCCCAGCGTTTTTAGCATCACCACTTCATAGGTACGCAGTAGTTCACTTTCACTTCACTTCTCTTCCCACCTCAAGCTCCCACCCAATCCAACTCAGACCCTCTCCTTCTACACTATGACTACTGCCATGCAAGATATGGATATGGATACGTCGCTGCTCACAAATCATTCAACCTCATCCGGCCTAAGGAGTACCGTCCCATATCTTTCGATGGAGTCTTCAGTCGGATTCCAGTCTCGACCCCTCCGCTAAGGTCCGCCTATGCACCTTGGCAGCTTGTCCTCTCGGCGCCCAAGTGGGTTCTCTCGATAGAGTTGCAACCTTTGGATACCTTAAGCTGCGCTGTATAGAGTACATACATGAACGACACCATCACGAGCCAATTACTCCAGACTTTGCAGACGCCGACATCTGTCACCCTGACTCTCATATCTACCCATCCCAAGGTATTATCACTGCACCACCAGCAGACTGCGGAAACATTCCAATGTCAACGTTGGACCATCCTCGTCCGGGATTAGCTCCGCCAGCGGGTACCAAGCA